ATTCGGTAATAATTCATATTCATATGGTAAGTAAATATGTGCTTCTTTTCTATCTTTAGTTAGTGAAATAACAGTATGTTTTTTATAATGTAGGGCATGGATATCTAGGTGAGAATAAAAGAATTGAATAGTTTGGGGTTCATTTAGGAGAGGGAGTTTATAATGAAGTAAGTATTTGTTATAGCAAATATCCAAATTATAGGAGTTTAAAGATGTTGGTAATGGTTTGGATGATTGTATTTTTTCTGTAGGGTCGCTCGCCGTTTTAAGCTCGATTCTCACAGCTGCGCAGGTATCCAAAATCTGCTCTGTATGTTGAGTCTGACTAATAACTTGGTTCTTCGCGTACTAAAATTATTTAAACTAGTATCAAATATATTATTATTATTAATTAATAAAGGATCAATTAAATCGTTAGAAAAATAATCAAGTGTTGATGGAGTAATAGAATTTAGGTAAGGATTGTATAGTACCATTGTAAAATAACTAGGTAATAAATAATTGAGAGCAATACTCTCTTGATATATAGGGGTATATCTATTGACTCCAATTCCGTTAAAATAAAACCCTTTATTATTCGTGTCGTTAAAGTCTTCTACAGGATCACTAATATTAGCGGGACAAACGTAGACTTCATGTTTATCTGCTTCAACATCAAGGTAACCAATGTTTTGTACTTCATTAATCCTACATATTTCAGCTTGCTTTTGATTATTGGTAGATAATGTAGGTCCATCTGTTTTAAATTCTATTCCTTTAGGAATTTCCATGTTAACTGATTTTTGACCCATTTTAACTCTAAATCTCTCATCGTAATGTAATACAGTAGGTGACTTTTTGTTACCCTGAATATGCTGTTTGCCCGAACTTTTATGTTTATTGCCATTTTTATTGTAATATTTTTTATACTAATTTGGATATAGTAATGAATGTTTCAAATTTGCTACTTTTGTTAATTCTAGCCAAAATTGATATTCATGTTTATGATCTCTCTTAATAGCTGCCCACCTTTCCTTAGCAATTTTAGATGATTTTGGAATGTTGTTCCAAGTTCTTCTATGACTATTACAACTAATATTATTAATATTTCTTGCTTGTGGATTATACTCGGCTGTTATGTCACAACGAAATAGTATAAAACAATTTTGGGATCATGGAATAGTTCTAGATCTAGTGTTAACTGATGAATTCCATAAATGATCAATCCGTTTTGTAGTTCAAATATCACCATATTTAAGAATAAGATCTTTTACCAATTCTACTACTTCAGGAGGTTCTTTACAAAAATCAATTTCTTGTTGAGCGATAGATATTTGACTGGATTCTCGAGCATACTCAGTTGGTAAAGAAGAATCTTTTAACATAATAAAACTTAACAATTTAGATTGCCTTAACAGTACAATGCGACTCACATAAACTTTGACTATTTATTGGCCTATTCAAATTCAAATCATATTGTGATTTTATATGACTTAATTTTTAATTGAAATAGGTCCATTTATTTAACTTCTAATTGAATTTGTATCAATTGCATTTCTGATAGTAACATTAATATTTTTAACCTTCAAAGTTACGAATATATTAGCTTTATACTGTATTGAAATGATGTTAATTGAATGCGTATAAACCAATAAAATGTTATTGTTTTGGAATTGGTGTTAGTAAAATGAAAAGAATGCTTTAAAACTCATTTAATGCTAAATTGATAATTTTTTTAAAATTTTTTTGCAAATTGAAATTTTATTACTCAAAAACAAATGGTATAGATTAATTACATATTAGGCAAAATTCAATTCCTTGCGAGCACTTATTTTTTTTTTTATATAATTCTTTTTAATTAGCAATTTCACTATTAAAATTATTTATACAACAAATTCCATAGCCAATTTAATTAAAAAAAAATTATAAAAGTTTAATTAAATTAAAAATAGATTCCAGATAAAAATATGATTTAAAGAGAAAATTAAATATTTTAATTTTTTTTTATTAAAAAAATGTGTGAAATAAGCAAAATGATATAGAATACTTGAAAAGATTAGAATTATCTCCTCATACACCCAGACCAGAAGTTTGTATGATAGGTTCCTTTAATATTAAAACTTTTGGTCCTAAAAATTTACAAACAAAGATGTAATGAAAATAATCATAAATATTCTTCGGTGATATGATATTGTTTTTTGCCAAGAGATTCATGTAGAAAGTAATAATCAAATAATAGACCAACTCGTCAAATTGATTTTAACAAAATCTATTCCATATTCATATGTGCTAAGTTGCCCTGTTGGTAGTGATAAATATAAAGAAAGATATCTTTACTTATACAGGAAAAATGAGTAAAAAGTATTAGAAAATTATTTAATTCATAATAATGGTAATAAATTTTTTTAAAGTGCTATATGTTGTTCAGTTTCAACATCTAAAAAAACCAGTGAAAATTACTCTTATTGGATGTCACATAAAACCACAACATGGAAATACATACAATGAAATAAAGACATTAGTTGATGTATATGCCTATGTTAAAAAGACGTTAGAATATAAAAGAGATTTTTTTTGGTTATTTAGTTTATTATGTTGTTTTAAAAGTTCATGAAATAATAAAAATCATGAACCTATAGTTCTAATAGGTGATTTCAACACTTCAGGCCCTTATCTTGATAAAAAAAAACAAACAAAACTTGATAAAATATTATGTCAAAATAATTTGATGTGGGGAATTAAACATTCAAGTGATACTTCAGTGACCTCCCAAAGCATCGATGCCTATGATCAATTTATATTTGAAAAAAATAATAAAAGTCAGATCAGAAATGTCTGAATATATAATTTTTGTAAATACTGGGGAAATAAACATGCCGCCACTCTTGTTTCGGATCATTATCCTATAGAATTCAAGTATAAAATTTTTTAATAGAATTACAATTATGTAAAATCAAAAATTTTTTAAATATTTCTATATTTTATTTTTTTATTTAATATTTTTTAAATATTTCTATATTTTATTTTTTTATTTAATATTTTTTGATTTATTTCTGGTTAGTCATGTGATATGAAAATTGAATTTGTAGATTACATGATTTATAATGTTTACAATAATGATAAAAATTAAATTAATTTACGCATTTTGGATTTTACCCTTTTAATACAACTATTACTTAGAAAATGGCTGCGAGTATTGCGAGTATGTAATTGTAATTAAAAATTTATAGAATAGAGCATATAATAGCTAATAAAAAATTTGTTAGCAATAATTTATTTGGAAATAAAAAGCGAGATAAATAAATTAAGAAAAAAATACGATGAAATGGCCATAAGTATGTATAAAACTGCAATTTTTTTTATCAAATAGCCAATTAATTTTTTTTTTTTTTTTTTTAGAAATATTAATTCTTGAAAAAGAAATAAGTTATTCAGAAGAAATAAACAAATCTCAACAGTATATAAATTTCACCTTTTTTTTTTTTTTAAATATACACCATTTAATGACTTAACTTTTACAGTATTAGAAAAATATTAGAGATGATAGATGAATTCAAAAAAATAACAAAAGCACTGAATGATGTATGTATAAAAATTTACTGATTTGATTTTAATTTTTCTACTATTTTAATAGCTAATTGATTTTTTTTTTATAAAAAGCAAAAAACAAAGCTAATTCAATTCAAAATATTCAATTATCTTTTTGTAAAAGAAAAGGTGTAGATAAACTTTAAGAGTATAGTAACCAAATATAATAAATATAATCTAAAGCAATTTAGCTTACAGTATTTATCTTTAAACAAAAAAAAAATTAATTGATTTAAATAATTTATTACTCTAATAAATTTTATCAATGCAATATTTAAATTTAAAAAACTTAAACATATTACATACAATAATTTGTAAAAGATAGTGCTTTTAAAGTATTGTCAAACTAATTATTTTTAATTATCATACTAAAAATTAACACCTAATGATTTATTAAAAAATAATATATTAAATTGTATAAAGGTTCAAACCTGTATTACTAGTAATCCTCATTACTAAGTATATTAATGATGTCTTCACTCGCAGTAGCAAACAATATTAATGAAGCTTATAAGATTTTTCAAAAATATGAAAATGAATATTTAAAAGCCAAAAACAAATTTCTGATGCATATGCGTACTTTGTTTAAATATGCAGAAGAAAAAGATAAGTTAAATGATATATTTCGTTATTTAGAAAAATCTGAAATCTATATAAGAAATATCTATATCAAATCTTTCATCAAATATTTAATGGGAATTAAATTAATAAATAAAAGAAGTGGTAATAAATTAGATAAAGAAAATGCTATAAATCATATTAAAGAATCTGCAGACATAGGATGTGGTTATGCTAAACAAATTCTTGATAATGATTTATTCAATTAAAGAAAAATAGAAAAATTGTTTTTTTATTTGAATGCCAAATTAAAATGATGTAATTTTAACCGACACAATTTAACGTTAATAAATATAAAGAACTTTTATTCCGTGATTTTTTAAAAAGTACTAATTAAATTTAGTCAACAAAAAAAAAACCAAAAGTCCTTCGAATACTGTATTTAAAAAGTTTTATTAGAGACAATCATCACATGATTATTTTTAGATAAAACCATAACGATAATGATAACGATAATGATAAATTAATAAAATCTCAAAATCTGGTTGGTGGTCTTATATTTTTGTACGTATCAGTATGTACCAAATTGTGATCTAATTACGTATATACCTGTGTTTCAACTGGATATTTTCACCCATATGAAAAGAAATAAAACAAATTTTGCTTCTAAAAATATCCAAATTTAGAGATCCGCTGTTCTAGTATTAGTCACCAAACATGATATTTACTCATCTGCAAGAACGCGGAAAATTTGGAACCAAATTTGGGCCAAATTTCAGAGTTCTTGATTTTTATTGATTCAAAAAAATATATATCGATATATATAATTTAATAATAATAATTTTTCTGTGTCTCTTCCTCGAGTTAGTGACTGGCTTATTTTATTTTTTTTCAATTAGAGATAATTTTATAAAGAATATTTTAATAAAATAATTTTGAACAAAATTTAAAATTGAAGTAGTTTTTTAAAATGCTAGGTTACTGTATTAGTTTCATTAATTTTTCAAAATCAAAATTTTCTCCTGTTGGCTTACTGTTAAAATCATTACTTTCTGTTTGAGTTGATGAAAAATTATTCTCCATTGGCTGCTTATTGGTAAAATTATTACTGTTCGCTTCTGTTAATAAAAAATAATTCTGCTCATTGTCAAAATAATTATTTTCTCTTTGTGGTGTAAAATTCTCAATTTTAAATGACTGCTCACTAAAATTATTACTTAATAAAAAAGGATCTGTTTGATATATATTATTATATTCTGTTTGTAGAAAGAAAAGTTGACTAAAATGAGGCAAGAATAATTCTTCATTGCTCTCTTTCAAAGGGAGACTAGATATTTTATTTTCATTAAAAGGTGATAATTCTTCATTGTTCACTTTCAAACTAAGTATTTTATTTTCATTAAAAGGTGATAATTCTTCATTGCTCTCTTTCAAATGGAAACTAAGTCTTTTATTTTTATTCAAAGGTGCAGTTCCTTTACTTGAATCTGAAATTTCAATCTTTGCTTCTGAATCCGATTTTATAATACCTGAATTTTTGGTCGAGTCTATTTCGGTATTAAATTTCCTTTTTCTTGTTTTGTATATATGTTTTGAGTTTTTACTTTTCTGTTTATAGGTTGCCTTAATCTCATCTGCTCGTATTTTATACTTTTCTCTAACTTCATTAGGTGATTTCACCCACATCTTCCCAATTATAATAGAAATATCATAATTACTTAAATTTGGATATTCAGTAGTAACAATATCACAGTAATCCTTTTGAAATAGTATAAACGCATTTGGAGGTTTTTTTACTTTTTCATTTGAAGGAATATCTAACAATTCTAAATTTAATATAAAGGCAGGAATTTCTAGATTCGATTTGGGCAATTTCTTTA